TTGGCTCAGCCTGGGAGGAGGGGACTGGACCTGCCTGGACTGAATCTACCAGGTTGAACTCAATCCTCGGGGGAATCTTTGCCCTGGAGGAGATGGGAATGGGGGGTGCGCTGGGGGGAAGGCAGGGGAGGGAGGGAGGAGGGGAGAGAACAAGGGAATCTATGGCTTATATGTAAAATTAAATTTAATAAATAAATTTAAAAAAAAAAGAAATAGAAAAAAATCCCTCTTTGGCTCACCTAATTAACATGCCCAATTAAAATTAAACACATCATCCTAACATGGGGTTTCTCCTGTTACCTTTATAAACTGCTATTTGCCTATGAGCCATGTCTATCTCTCCTCTATCCAGAGGCAGTCCTCTGTCTCCCTCCAGGACAAACACCCTTTCCCCCTTCTCCCTTGTTCCCTTCTCCTTCTCCTCACCCTCTGTCTCCTGTCTTTGTTCTTCTCCCTTGCCCTCTGTCCTTCTGTGGAAAATAAATCTCCTTTGTGCTGAGAACTTGGTCTTGGGGGTCCTGAGCTGATACCAACCCTTTCAGTGACTAGGGTAAAAAGTCTAAACTCACATGAATTTTGAAAAACCACCAATGCCTGAGCTTGCCCCAAACTCAGGACTTGAAATCCAACCAATTCCCATGTTGGAAATCTTCATCCTAGGAAATCCCGCCCCCAAGATATCCTCTATAAGCCTGTCTCCCACTCAGTTCTCTGCTTCTTCTCACCTGAGCAGTGGCAGCCATCCTCATGTGTCTTCCCCAATAAATCTCTGTGGGAGCTTTGTTGCACAGTTTGACTGTGTGGTATTCCTTGGCTTCTGCCTGCCAGGTTCCCTTTCCTCTGAGAACAGCAACACTTCCGGTGGGGAAACCTTCCCCTCCAGAGCTGTAAGACTTACAGTGACTGCAGATGTCCACCTATGGCTAAGGATGCGGTCACTGTGCCTCAGCCACAGTCACTTATTCCCAATACATTCACCAATGGCTTGGAGTTGAGCCTGACAGCAAAGGTGACCTCTAGACACAAGCACACACTTAGAAGACTCTTTGGCAGGCACTTCATGTGTCTTTTCCATCCATGGAGAGTGTTTTCTGGACTTAGACTCTTTACCTGTTGTTTTAAGCCCTTTTCCTTTCAATTAACCCAGCCCTAGTAGGGTTGTAAGGTAAGTAGAAGTACTATTGTACCTGGTTATCTTCATCCCAGTTTGATACGTCAATGTTAGTGGAATAGCTCTGTCGCTATCAATTATTCTTCAAGGACACTCATTCACAACACATAGATTGGTGAGACCCTTAATGGTGACTTCATCTGTTGCTCACTTGCAGGAAAATGCTGGTAAGAAGTTGGTAGCAGTGTCCACATAGCTAAGGGTGTATTCGCAAGCCTCACTGATAGGCATAGGCCCAATGATGTCTACCTGCCAATCTTTAATTGAACAGAGATTGATATGTGTCCCATCAGGGTATCTATTTGTCAAGGACCTGGATCAGGCCTCACATGTTTGGACATCATGGAAAATATTAGAATATCTCTCACATGAATTCCAGCAGCCGTAGATGTTTTCCAACCTATGTTGGCTCTCCAATGGGACCAGACTTTATATGGAACCAGTGAGTACCTTCCAAGGGTAGCTGAGGGAAACAGCCTGTAGTCTGGTAAAGGCAACTGCTTCATGATTCCAGGAGGCTTAAAGGGCTGTGGACTACCACATGAAAAACTACCAGGGGTTATGATTCCTGTTGAACTATGTTACATATTTCTTTCCACATTTGTTGTTTATGCAGTGGCCAACCCAGCACCTGCCAGTCCTTCTTCTACTGGGCCACCCATAAACTGAAGCCTCTAAATACAAACCAAATGACAGTACAGATTGTCATGTGATATGTCTTATCTATTCATACTGCTCTTAACTCAGCCCATTGGCTTCTTTTTGCTTCTCCCTTTTCTAGCCATGTGGTATTTGTGCTCATTTGTATTGCTACACTACCCATGCCCCTTTGGTGTACCTATGAGTACCATCTGTGGGTCAGGCATCTACAGGCATTGGTGGTAGGGTATCCCTTCCAGTAGAACTTTATCTGGCTTAGCTGTTGATTCAATTACCAGGGAATACTCAGTGTCTTTAAAGGGCTCTGGTCCTAGAATACCCTGAATGGTATTATGATGGGGCTGGCAGACACCACGCCCATTGCTCTAAGTATTCATGCCATCTTTGTTGAGTTTGATTCTGTGCCACACCAGAAAGAAGTTTGAGCATAGGCCTTTAATTCAGCGCTTGTTGGGTTTTTATAGTCACTGTTTTTATAGTCACTGAAGTGGAACCAGTGATGGAATCCACCTACTGCCATGTGTTAACAACCTCTCCCAGGTGCTGTGCTAGTGCTGTGTAATCAGTTTCTGCTCCTTTCCATGACTGAGACCTACAGAAGTAACCAATCACCCGGCTTGCTTTTGCTGTAGCAGACAGCTGTAGCCTTCTGAACTTTTGGTGGCTTCTAACAGAAAGGAACACTGGATAGTAGGGGCACACAAGTCATTCAACCTGGCCTATAAGAATGTTGGCCTGCTCAAAAAACTCTTGGGTATTTCTATCCCAATACCAATACTGCCTAACACCCTTATTCATCAAGTTCTACAGAAGGACAGCTTGAGCAAGATGGGGTATGAAAATCAATAATCCTAGAGCTTCCAACATGCTTCTAGCTTCTTTACATTTACAGGCACAGACTAATTTAGGACTTTGTCAGTAACATTGGCAGGTACTATCTGCATATTACCAAACCATAATACCCCAAGAATTTTACAGGTTTGTCTGGGCCCTGCATGATACCATCATCCCATAACTAATAGAGTGGTTAAAAAATAACTTTGGTGAAACACTCTGAAAGTCCATTGTCACAGATTCTGAGCAAATGTCAGGTGATCCCAGAAACTTACAACTCTGAAGGTACTAAAGTCCAACATAAGCAAGGTCTAAGACTGGAAAGTTCCCATCCATTTCTATCGGTTGCTTCCTCTGCAGATCAAAGTTGAGTACAAAAGCATGGAAAGGAGGAGCTAACATAATTAGCTCTCTGTACTTCTCAGTCATTCTCTCTGAGCCGTTACATTTCCATATCCTAGTGATCTTCCATGGCTCCTCTGTTCATCTCTCCACCCTTGATGAACTCAGCGGGTCTGACTGAATTTGTTTAGACCTCCCCTGGGACAAGAGGGAACATGACCTTGCTCTCCCCTGCTGTACCTGCTGGATCCCTGGGTCCAAGAGGCCCTGGATTGGCACTGTTCCTGTAGCCATAGCTTTTGCCTCTCCATTCACCAGAGCATGTCTGGGCAAATCATCTCCACCCTTAGCATAACCTTTTGCTGGAAGGAAATATCCCCTCCTTAGTCTGGAGGTTAGTAATTACCAATCTCTAGGATTGATTGTCTTCTCCTGCAGTTTTCTATCACAGATGTCTTTTATGAACTGCCCCTCAGGCTTTCAAGGCTCCCAAGAGTAGTAGTCTAGGAGCTGGCTATCAATTTTTCCTTAGAAACTCTGGCTCAACACAAACCTAGCCACATTTGTCTTTGAATAAGCAAGACTGGCCTCTTGCTCTGTTTTCCCTTTTCCTGTCTCCTCTGGGTTGCTCTCCCACTTTATGGATACTCTTTCCATGCTAGTAGTCTAAGTCCCTTAGATCTGAGAAAGCCTTTCCTATTATATGAAGATCTTGCCCTTCCAAAGGGCTCAGCAATGTTGGTAAAGCTCCCCAGCAGCCTCAAGGTCCCTGATGGATCAACCTTTTCCTTATCTCTGTGAACATAATTCTCACTGGCCCTGTAAAGTGGGGTTTAAACCCAGCTTCTCATATGCCCAGTTCCCTCGCTAGCATCTGCCTCTCTCCTCTGTGGTCCTGCAGCCCCAGAGATTTATAGGGAGCTCTGAAGATAACCAACTGTCCCTAATAGCTCTGATAATAGCACCAGTCCATCCGGGACTCATGCTGTCTCACACTATGCAGTCGCTGCCTTCAGGAGGCATGGGTAGTTACATTACTCAGTTCTTCTGCCTCCACATCAGTCAGACTGATCCCCTTCACTCCTATGTCCCAGCACCTCAGAAGCCAAGCTGTGACAGGCCTTTCATGGCTTGTTTCAAAGTCTGTTCTAATTCCAGCACATCAAGTGCTGAGTATTTCCTATGGTCCTAAGTTTCTTGCTGGGGACCATTTTTTGTTAAGGCCCCTGTCTGCATGTTGGATCACAGGTTTTTTTTTTTCTTCTTTTTCTATTAAAGTTCAGACCTGAAGGGCATCGTCTATCACTCTCACCACCTCTCCCGTCCTCTCACTTAACTTACTTGTCCTATCAGAGACTAACATGGAGGATGCTAGCTACATCTTCCTCTCTTGTTGCAGTTCCTCCTTCCCACAAACCAGTTCCTGTTTGGTCAGCCTCAGATGCACTTCTCAATCTACAGAACCCAGGCCTCTGCTTGCTGAAATCTCTAGCTTAATGCATACATCTCAAGACAGCAAAATCTCCTCTTAAGTTCCTTTAACTGATTTCTGAGTAGCTCCATATGCTCGTGGTAGACTCTACTCATCAGGCAGGCATGCCACCCCATACCACATGTATGAAGACTGCCACCCTGCCATTCCTCCCACAGACACTCCTAATCCTGAGTGTTCTCACTACCTATACCAAGAACCATCCAACTGTTCCCACGGCAAAAGGGCACACTAACATATGCCATACAGGAAAGGTGGAGTGTATCAGAATTTCCTCCACAGATGTTCCTCTTGACAAGCTGCTTCATCTCAATCGCATGCCTTGCTACCCATAGCTAGCACCATCCATTCACTCCTTCCTAACTCAACTCTGATTCCGTCAAGTCCCTGTTCAGGTGCCTAGTATGTTGTGACAGACTTTTCCTGAAGAGGTGCAGCACACAAGTCTATTTAACCCAGATAAGGAGCCCATGACTGACAAAAGTAAATATATCACCAAAGTCCAATCCATCAATAAGTTTTATTGGGATCACTTACAAGAAGATGGGTAAGTGGTTCATTACAGGAGTAGAAATGACTCAATGTCTGCTGCATCACCAAAGCCCATCCTAGAATGACAGCTCACAAAAGTTGACAATCTGGAGCACATTGCACAGCCTTCGGGCAGCTCAATAGGATAAAGAGTGTCCTTTGCAGGTGGCTCAGTTGCTCTAATCCTCTTCCAGGCATCTCTGTTGCTCTCTCATTTTTTTTTCAGACTGCTTGGCTATTCTCTATTATTCCAGGCAGCTGAGCTGGTCTCAAGTCTTCTTGCTTTATCTGAGAGTGACTGTCTTTACTGTTTACTATTGGGAGGGAGGGAAGGAGGGAGGGAGGGAGCGAGGGAGGGAGGGAGAGGGACGGATGCGGCTAGTGAACATAGTCAGTTTCAGGAACTTCCTGAAGCTGTTCTGAGTTGTTTGCTTCCTGCTCAAAGAGCTTCCCTGCAGGATGGAATGTTTTAATCTTGGATGAAACTGCTACAGCACAATCCTTATACTTCAACTCGGCCAGAACTCAACGATTTAGGGTAAGAACAAACTCACCCTAAATTGGCCTAAGAAAATTCACTTAATGATGAACAAAGATGCAAAAAAAAATTGCTCATGAAATACTTGCAAATGGAATGCAAGAAAACATCAAAACATTCCAGAGGTACAGTGATGGTTCAACATATACAAGGCAATGAATGTAAACGGTCAAATAAATGGACTCAAGGACAGAAATTGGTTATCTCAGTTCATGCACCAAAATCTTTTGATAAAATTCAGTGTCCCTTGATGATAGCCTAAGATACTTGGAATAGAAGGAACATATTTCAATATAGTATCAGCTATACATTACAAACCAATATCCAGTACTACACCAAATGGGAAAAACTATTCTTACTAAAATCCAAAACAAAATAAGAATGCCACTTTCTCCACTCTCATTAACCATTGTACATGAAGTCTAAGCAGTAAGACAAGTGAAAGAAATGAAAGGGAGACAAATAAATCAGTGTCCTTATTTGCACAGGGTAGGATTCTGTATGTGATACCTAAAGACTCCACCCAAAAACTCTTGGGTGTGATCAATAATTTCAGTAGAGCACCAGAACACAAAACTAACATAAAAGGTAGACATGGGGAGTACAGGCTGGAATTTAGTGCAGGAGCTATGGGCAGAAAATTGCTAGAGAAGCTGATTGTAGAAGCTGACGACCAGAGCAGGAAGCAGCATCTGCCTAAAAGGAAGGGAACATAGGAACTGCATACTTATGTAAGCATCAAATTTCCATGAAATGACCCTTGCAAGGGTGTATTTGGATTGGGGATGCTCACACACATCCATCTGTTTCGGGTTTAATACCCAGCCTAGTTCTTTTACAAGGTGGTAGAATGTTAAGAGTACCACTAGGTATTAAGGGGCCCCGCTTGTCTTCTGTCCTTCCTTTCACACTCTTATCTTTCCAAGGCAAGATCTCTCACAACTCAATCAGCCTCAAACTTGCTATGTAGCCAAGGCTGAGAACTTCCGATCCTCTTGCTTCCTCCTCCCAACACTTGGACTATGGGCATGTATCACCAAACCAAGTATAAGATGCTGGAGATAGAACTCTGTGCTAAACCCCTGGGGTGGAAAGAGCCAGGCTTGAATGTTACATCTTTTCTCTTTTCAGTCTCAGAATGAACAATCTCTGCCCCCGAGCATCAAGACATCAGTGTCCCACCAAAAGAGTGACTGAGGATTTTACTTAGCAAAGCCCCAAAGTCGGATTTAACCAAGGCTTTTCTTGCGCTTGCTGCTTAAGCCTTGGAAAGAGCATCACCTCCATGGCATCAGCCCATTACAGAACAGGCAACAGAAAGGAGGCGTTCCTCATCTAACAAATGCGCAGTTTTCATTTCCTTTCCTGTGACTGACACTGCACGTCTTCTGCCCTCATACCCATGCTGCTTGCTGTTGCCCACCCCGTGGAAACTTGACAGTGTCGTCCATATTAATCAGGTCCCAAATAACTTGTCATTCAAATACACAAGGACTGAAGGTGGTTTTGACATGACTCAAGAATTTCATGAGCGGGACCACTTAGTTCTCAGGCTGTGCCCACGTGAGACAGCTGTTAGTGAAAGGAATTGCAGTTAGGCAGGATGGGTCTGAAGTGTTGAATGTTTGTGAGTGCCCTTTCTCTGCTCAGGCAGGCAGCTACAGGATCATTGCTGGTGTGAGGCCGATGTGTCTGTACTCATGTGGCCTTTTGAGGGGCACAGGAAAAAGGCTCCCATCTTAGCCTTCAGTATCATCATACAAGACACCAGCTGACTTCAGACCACCTGTTGTCTGAGCAATTCATCCCAGTAACTCTTCCGGAGCTGTTCACCATTTTGAGTAAGCAGCATAAATACAGGGTCTCAAGGCTGTTATCAAGAAATGATTCCCAAAGCCCCAGGGACAAGAGTGCCGTATGGCTGAGGAAGGGGATGATGGGAAAGGTCATATCTGTCATGTCTAGTTTCCACTTTGGTATTCCAGGATCTAAAGAGTTGCCCAGACTCTAATGAGTTTGGGGGATCAGGAGGGATTTCCATGACATAATTTCCTTGATCTTCACAGGGCAGTATGCACTGAGGAGGTACAGAGCTCTACAGTTCTGTTCTGCAGAAGAGCAAACTCAGGGTTAAGAATGAGCTCAGGTTTCAGTTTATAGTGACACTTCCCATGTCTTGTAACTCATATTTCAGGGCTTTATTCTAGAACATGGGTTCTTTTTGTTTTCCATCTAGACTTACAGAAGGAAGATCATAGTAAATCTCTCTCCATCCCTCCCTCCCTAAGACACTGACTCTAACCAGTTCCACATGTGTCCTCCCAGACAGACACACGTACATCAGTCCTCACACTGAGTTTCCTATCAGTCCATCAGTTATGACACACTGAGTTTCTTATCAGTCTTCTCAGGCATGGTTTCTGACACGGTAGGGAATACTTCTTGGTTCTGTGACTGAAGAACACTCTTTTCAATTGTACCATAGACATGTAACAGAATTCGTATAGCAGATCTGAGTGTGGAGGGTTAGCAGCATCCCTGGGAGAAGCACCCTACTAGGTGACAGCAGCACCCCAGTCCCTAGCTCTGACAAACTCATGTCTCCAGACATCACCTAAAGCTATCTGAGGTAGTGTTTCCCTGGCTGAGAAATAACACCCGAAAGCATTTTATAAGCAGAGCTCCACATTGTGATTTGAAGTAGAGGAGTATGGGCTGTTTCCTCTAGATTCTGCTGGACCACTAATGCCATCCACAGCTTCCAGAGTGCTGGAATGGCACTCAGATAGGTGGAGTTTGCATTCACATGCCTGTTTTTGAAAAGATCACAGGCCTGTCTCCACGAATGGAGATGAAGGTAGACAAGGGTTTTCAGAGTGTGCCTCTTCTCTGAACTCCAGATACCTTTGAACCTTGCGTGCAGGGGCCACATCTCCTTGGGAATTCATTTGGACATCTGCACATTTTCTGTACATCTTAGTCATTTTGCTCTTTTCTCAGACTCTTTGGGGAGAAAGTACAAAGACACACCAAATATCAAACACCTGTTACCACTGGAAGAAAGACCATCCTCAAGGTGGGTCTTCCCTGTCTCTGCAGCCGACCTGGAAGCCTCAGAGAAGCACAGAGCTGGGCAGACGGAAGCCTCAGATCCTGAGCACTGAGCAGGAGAAAGGAGCCCATGCTGGCCCTGCAGGGCAGTATAGATAGCAGCATGGCAAGGCAGGGGTGTCGCTGCATGTGAGACATGGCTGCCTCTCCCGACCTGTCTCCTCTTTTCTGACTTTAGAACTGTTCTCATTTGCCATTTCAGTGCTGTATCTCAGACTGAAAAATCATCTTCCCAAAGCCAACAGCCTGAAATGTCTCCTCCTAAAGAGGTACACCAAGGAGTATGAACAGCATCTGGCAGACAAGGTCAGTGCAGAGATCACAGACCAGAGGATTGTGTGTCAGCTACTCAGCCTGTGCCGGGACTGTGCTGTGCTGCACCAATGGAGTCTGTGATTTTAATGGACTGGTTCTTTTGGGGGACACATAGGCCAGTACCTCAAAAAAGTCAATGGCCAATAGTGAGATGGAGGATTCTTACAGATTCAGCCTGTGTCTAAGAGGATGACTTGAGGACAGACATCTGTGACCTTTCTGCTAAATCTACAGCAAGAGACCTAACCATAGTGAACATTCTCACTAGAACATAAGGCTTTTCACAGGGCTGGAGCAAGAAGTTTAGATCATATCTGGTACCATCTGTAGTCAATGATCTTCCCGGAGCTATGCGTACTATCTTGTTGGGAATAGTTAGTTTTAGCTCGTGAAGAAACACGCAGGGCTCAGAAATGCTCCCTAGCTGGACAAGAATGCACACTATAGGCAACTACACACTAATTTATAGCTGTTTGCCGAGGTATTCTGTAAGCTGGTGTTGTCAGTCAGTAGAGGACTGAACAGCTCTGCATCATACATCTCCAAACCAAGTTTATTACTTGGTATTTTGTGCTGTTTTAAATGTCACTGAAAGTGAGCATCAGAAACAAAATGGAGGCTTTATTTTCAGTTCAAATTCACTAGAGATTGCCGATCAGCAGGTGTAACATTTACTGTCAGCCTTGCCTGGGATACAGAATACACAATGTCGGCAAAGCTACAGAGTGGAACTGTGGATGACAGGTTATCGGATACAGACAATGAAGGTGCATCAAGACTTCAGGAAAGAGTCAAGTGCAGGTCTAAGAGATCCTCAGGCCATAAAGTGCTTGTCAGGCAAGCATGAGGAGCTGAGCTCTAGGCCCTGAACACAAGTATCAGCAATAATAATGATAATAATGATAAAAATAAAGCAGGAGGGTGGTGCACACTTGTAATCCCAGCACTGGGATGGAAGAGACAGGCTGATCCTTGGTGTATGCTAACCAGTAAGCATTACCAAGTGGGTTAAGTTTCAATACCAATAAAAGACTCTCCCCCAAAAACTGAGGTAGTCCACAACAAAAGATTGATAACTGAGCTCCACACTAACATGCGTACACACATACACACACACACACACACACACACACACACACACACACACACACACACGTCCAGTGGGGTATTGGAAATATTGAGACTGTGCTCCATAGCTCTTGGGGTATGTAGGAGAGCATGGATTATGTGCTAGCAAATCATACCAGAGCAAAACTACACTTTGGTTCATATCCATGCTGAGACCTTTTTTGAGATATGAACTATAAGCCTGAGTATTTTTCTTTTTCTATGCAGAAGAAGAAAGAAGAGGAAGTACACCTCCGGTATGAACTGAAAAAATTGAAACAACTGTCAAGGGATTTCATCAAGGTGGACTCTGGTCCAACTAGGCCGGTGGTAGCTGATGCAGAAAATCCCTGTGAAGAGGTAGGCTTCATCACATTATGATCATCCACTAAGACTGAAGCTCCCTATATAAAGCACACCCCAACAATCCACTACTGGTGCATGGTGTAGAAGATGCCTGGAAGGTGTAACTTGAACTAGGGATAGCACCATTTAAAAAGATGTGGCCCCCAACACACTGGCATCACCCTTTCAGGATGGACAAGTGTTATTCTAAAGAAGGTGGCCTCCAGCATATCCGCACCAGACAATCTAGCTATAAAGAGTACCACACTAACAAAGGCAGATAAATATCAAAGAACAACTCTCATGTAGAGGTGGTCCTCATTTCATCTGGGAGCCTGTGAAGTCAGCAATCCACACATTTCCAGATACAGGTAGAGTCAACATGCTTTGGCTGTGAGCCTGTGCACTGGGCAGTCTACACACTGGCAAAATCAATGGAGGTTCAGGAGAAAAATGTTCAGTTCCATTCAGAAGGGAGAAACAGGCAAGGAGGTGACTAGTTCTAATTAAGTTCAGAACTCTGTCTACTATGGCTTTGCTAGGCTCAGTGCCAGGACTGCAGCCTTTCCAGGCTGCAGATGCACACTGGTCACCATAGAGTTACCTACGGGCTCCCACCGCCACACTCCTACACTTTGCCTGAGAGTAGACGTTCTGTGGAGATCTTCTCTTGAGACAGTCTCTGTGTTGGCACTGAGGCTGGCCACAGCATCTTTTGAAATCTAAGTGAAGTTCCTCTGGGCCAACAGCTCTTAGAGGGATTGGCCCATATGGCTGAGCATCCCCTCAACAGGCTTTCTGAAGGCGGGAGCTCTGCAATACTTGTAACTTGGTTCAGTAGATGTCTCAAAAACACAGACCAGGGAAGCCACTTGTGTGAGTCTCAGTCTGAGGCCAGAGATCTGAGGTTCGAGGACAAGTCCACAACCCAGAACCCAGAGCCTAGAGGACTTGGAATTCCAATGTCTAAAGACAGGGGAGAAGTATGTCTGTTCCAGGAGAGACACAGGGGAAATTTCTTCTCTGCTTGTCTGTCCCATGCAGCTCCAGATTGGCTGCATGCTGTCCACCTATGTTGAAAGTAGACCTTGCCCACAGAGCCCAGGCACCCACATACATACCAGTTTTCTTAGAAATTCCTCATGGCTACATCCAGAAATAATGCTCCAGTCAGGTTGACACTAAATTCTATGTCTCAACATCCAGTCAGCTGTGGCCAGAGGTTGAAGAAGACTTTATGTCCCCTTTGTGGTACCCTCAGGAAAGAGGGCCTCATGGAGGGCAAATCAATGACTTAGCATTTTTCTCATGTTCCCATTTTACAACTGGATTTTTTAAACTAACAACTTATGGCTTGGAGGAAATATGGTCCTGCCCACGTAGAGGACATGTGTTCTGTGTACACATCAAAGAAGAAATAAGGGCCATGTCAGCAGTCAGAACATAGAGATGATGAGGCTTATGGTCCTTTCTGAGGCACTTGGAAGTTCAGCCTTTTCACTCACCTTCCTAGAAATCCATAATAACCGTGTATCTAGGATGCAGTAGATTGTAGAAATAGGTTTTCTCAGCTTTGCTGCCTGGATAATAAATGAGAAAAAATAATTATATGATACCTGAAAGTTCCTTTACAATGAAATAGAATGGGACTAGCCAGGTAAAAGTACAGATGAAATATAGTTTGCACATGCAATGGAATATTCTGGCACATGCTACAGCCCAAATGAAGCTTGGAGACATGATTAGTGATGTAAGCCAGGCAGGAAGGGAAGAACATTACATGGTGCCATTTGCATGAGGCACCTAGAACTGGCTAATTCATATAAATAGAGAGTAGAGACTTCAAAATTACCCATGAAAGGATAGACTTCACACCAGCAAAGGTTACAAAGCACAGACTTCTCAAAAACTACAACAACAAACACTGTTACTAGTAAAGCAGAGATCTGGGGATAAGGAGATGGCTCGGTATCCAAGAGAACTCACTGTGCAAGCCTGAGAAGCAGAGTTCAGATCCCAGCACCTAGGGAACAATCCCAGTGTCCCACGTGCACTTGTGACCCAGCACTGAGCCAGATGGAGAACAGAAAGGAAGATTGATGAGGCTTGCTGACTTCCTAGCTTAGCAGGAAAAAAAAAGAGGTCTGTGAAGGCTATTTTTAATTGTCAACTTGCCTGCCTCTGGAATTAACTAAAACCCAGGCAGCTGGGTACAACTATGAGGGGTTTTTCTTAAATCATTTGACATAAGAAGACTCACCCAAAATCCAGATCTTTGGAGGTAGGAAAATTCACCTTAAATCTCAGCCACATCTTCTGGTGGCAGCCTATCTAAAAGACATGGAAGAAGGAAGCTGCAGCTCTTTGTCCGCTTGCTCTCACTGGCAAGTCCATTCCCTCACTGGTAGTAAACCCCAGTTCTTTGGGATTCCATTGTATACTGAAGCCCAGAGGAGACATCTACTGGATTCTGGGACTTTCCACTGGTAGACAGCCATTGTTGTCTGGCTGGACCACACAGACTGACTAATGCAAGTTTCAAGTAGAGGAAGAAAAGACCCTGCCTAAGAGGAAAGAGGGGAAGAGTCACAACAAAGGACACATGAAGACCTCTTCTAATCTATATATAAGCACATGCAGGCCTCAACATAGACATATACTACTCATACACACATGTACACGCAAGCAAATATGCAAAAACACACACACCAATAAAAATTCTTTTTAAAAATGTATTCCACTTACCTTTGCTTTATAGGAGTGCTTCATACATGTCAAATCAACAATCAGTTCAAGCTGCTCATTTTGTTGTCACACATTTTTAAAAAGAAGATCCAAAGATTCTTCTGGAGTTGCATCACTTCCAAAGTTCTGTCAGGGAGTGAAGAGAGAACAAGTCCTGTCTTGGGTTGCAGAGATGGCTCAGAGGTGAAGAGCATTTGCTGCTCTTATAAAGGTTGGACCCCTAGTACACATGGTGCTTTGTAACCATCCCTTACCCCAGTTCTAGGGTATCTGATGCACTCTTGACTTTTGTGAGCATCAACATGCATGCTGTGCACATGTAAACATGCAGGCAAAACACTCACACAGAAAGCAGAATAAAGAAATCTAATGAATACAAATTTCTTTCTAAAAGTCCTGTCTTAATTTTCTATTGCCGTGACAAACACCATGATGAAGGCAACTTATTAAAGAAACACTTAATTTGGGGCTCACAGTTGTCCATGATCATCAGAGTGTAGAGCATGGCAGCAGGCTGGCAGGCATGTCATTGGGACAGTAGCTGAGGGCTTACATCCGATTCACAGGCAAGAGGCAGAGAGAGAAAACTAACTGGGAATGACATGGGCTTTTGAAACCTCAAAGACTACCAATGATGATAAGCCTCCTCCTTCTCCTCTTCCTTCTCCTCCTCCTCTTCAAACAGTTCCACCAACTGGGGACCAAGTATATTCAACTATATGAGCCCATGGGGGCATTCTCATCCAATCCACCACAAATCTTACACCACACTATGCTTTTATTCCAGCCCCATGAGATGAACACACAATGACACACACAGTGTTGCTGTGTAACAATCTTTGTACACTGTAAATATGCATTACTTCCATTGGTTAATATAAGATCTGATTGGCCAATAGTTGGAAAGGTGGAGGTTAGGCGGAACTTGCGGACAAAAAAGAGAGCACAGGAAAGACATTTTATTCCCCACAATTCTAATTTTCTTGAACTTTCAGTAGTAATCACCTTTTTTGGCACAGGAGAATGAACTATTTATGTTTCTAGTCTAGCTAAGCCAACACATCCACACACTGAAACACATTATTATAAATTTGGTTTATCCATTATATTACAGCATTACAGTGATGGATTTTCTTGAAATTATATGAAAGTAAATCATATTGATCTATGAGATTCATTTCTGGTTAGTAAAGTAGTATCGCGCAGTCACTTTATCATAAGAAGGGCAAATGTAAAGCAATCTGGTTGAGAACTGGCATTCTACATAGGGAATTTGCATTTCTGAAAGAATCCTGAATTAATTTCCACTTACCTTTCGCAAAGGAACTTTGAAATAGCAAAATGAGTCCCAGGCATCCTCTGTGCACTGAACATAGTCTTTCCACCTGTTACATAAAATTGTTGTCAGCCAAATTGCATGTTAGCCTTGTTCTCTTCAGGGAATGAAGGTGTCTTTATGATGGACAGCCAATCCCACACATCATGTGCCTTCTCTCTGCTCTGCCTTTTGCTACTCAACCTTTACACCTCCTAATTACCATTGCTACTTTCCTTTTTCCGTTTCCTTATCTTGAAAATAGATACAAGGCAACCAAACAGTGTAGTGGTCTCCAAAAATACACAATACTCCAAACCAGGAACAGCCAGAACTTCCATACACCTGGTAAAACTCAGCCTGGAGTCAAGTACTAAGGAGACATGAAGGATGAAGGACATATGAGCAGGACTGGGATATGTCAGAGGAGCGGAGGGGTCACAAGGGTTGAGACTGGAGACAAAAGAAAGACAAGTAGTATTTTCTCACATGTGGAACCGTGTGTGTGTGTGTGTGTGTGTGTGTGTGCCCGCGCGCGTACATAGGTTTATGTGCATAAACATCTATATGCCTGAACATGTAAGGATGACAACTTGGGAAAACTAAAATTATGAATGGAAACACTAAGGAGTAGTAAACACCGGCTGGAAGAGCCCACGTTCTATCCTTTCACTACACAGTATCTTTAGTCTTCACACAACTGACACTAATTCAATCAGTAGAAATCTCCAGGTTCTTATAGGGATAGACAACTAAAACTTCAGAGCCACACTAGGAAACACCAAGAAGAGTAAGACTTGAGCTGGTTTCTGTAGATAAATGACAACTCAGCAGGAGTCCTTCAGCATGCCTGAAGCATAAAAGTGGGGTCTGAGTGGCTAGAGAGGGCTGCGGGAAGAGGACCCCAGACCATCAGAACCTTGTGTTACATGCCACAAAGGGTTCGCTTCTTTTACTCTTGAAGCAATGCTTTACCTTGCTGTCTATGGCCTGTCTCCCAGTTTCAACTGCACTTCAGTTTTACATAACTACATAAAAGTATGTGAAGAGTAGACTGGAAAGAAAAGAGAGTAAATGAATGAACCTCTGTAGAACTTGTCTGCAGTTAGGTCAGGCAAGTTCTGCACCAGAACACCAAAGGCGGTAAGCTGGCAGAGTCTACATATATATTCAGGGGATAAAACAAGGGCTTACTAAAGTATGGGAAGAGGGGAAGGGCAGCCTGACCATCCCTGGCTTCCGGCTATTGTTTATCTGTGGAGATAAAAACAAAGAGCCACGAGGGCAGAGCATCTCCAACTCAGACCTGACCCCTCACACTGTCGGCGCTTACACAGCCTGAGGACTGTGGAAGCCTGTGATCAAGGGACGAGCCAATCCTGGCAGCGGCGCTCCACAGACTGAGACCTGTCTGGACAAACAAAGTGACCTCTGGGAGGCCGAACAGGGAGAACACCGAGACCCATGGCGTTGGGGGCAGCAGGAAAAGCAGAGGCCAGAACCAAAGTCCCGAACCTTTTCTGGACATGGCTCCTTCCACTCTTCCTGAGTGTGGCACGTCCGGCGACGTCCATGAGCCCACCGCGACAACTACAGCCATGATGCCCCTGGCTCATGTGGACGCTGAGATGCCGCCCACTCAACACGGGGCAGTCCTAACGGACAGGACAACAGCCTCCCCGCACAGGTCGCCAGGGAACGCAGAACGCCAACCGACCAACGCACACCTAGTCTCGAGCCTCGCTAGTGCGCATATGCAGCGGCCCGCCGCCCTGATGACATCACGGGGGGGGGGGGGTGCGAGAATTGCAAGATTTGTCAGCAAGCCTTTGGCCCCACAGCATGCTCTGTAGTTTGAGGCCTGCAGCTCAGCTAGGTTTGGTAGTGCGCTGTACCCAGAGATAGCTCCAGCCACTTTAAACAGGGGCAAAGGTTCAATCCCCCTCCCACCCTGCTGCAGACACCTGTGCATTCCTTAGGACATTGTCAATCATCGTCAATTTTGTATATTGTTCATAAGTATTTATTTCACACGTGTATCCTTTATCTGTTCAAAAGCAATAGGTCACATTTTATACAACATTTTCCCAATCTATGTACATACATACTTATATCTATTCTAGTTTTAAAGGCCACAGAACATTTCTCTGAATATAATCAACATACATAAAAGTACCATAGTTTAACTGTCCAATGTTGACATACCTCTGCCTATTTTGGAGGTTTCCATTTGTTTCAGTTGCAATTTTGATCTTATGGTACAGAAAGTGCTGCAGTGTGAACAGCATTTCAAGTCTTGACTATCTAAATTCCTGGACGTGGAATTGCTGGAGTGAAAGAAGCACACGCTAACGTTTTCAGAAATACTGACCGACTGCCTCCCATTCTATCGGCCCACCCTTCCATTCAGTCAGTTTTGCTGGTATCACACTCCTGGTGTCACCATACCTGTGCACAGCAGGGCTGTGTGTTTTAGCCAATACCAACACTAACAGAGAACTAAAATGAGCTCAAGTCCAAGAGTCCACACAATGATATGCAGAGAGAACTATGGGTCATCTCTGAATTCACCTGCAAGAGGAAGAGTAAGTGACAGAACATCTGAAGTTAGAACAGTGGAGTATGCTTGTTCCAAGGTGGAAGGTGGAGATTTAGGAGAGGACTTTTCAAGACAAGTTTTACCTTTTGGTTTGAAGTTTCTGAAAGTGGCTTTCATACACTGTTAATATGTTTGACAATTTTAGATCTGGATAAACTGACAGAAAAGTCAAAGTTACTGAATGAATGAGTGAATGAATGGGCAAAAGGCACTCATTATAACATTTTGTGGGCAATCATATTCTAACCAATTTTAAAGCCATTTACGATTCTGAAAATTCTCCCACTGCCAGGTGTGGTGACACATACTTTTAATTCCAGCACTTGGGAGTCAAAGACAGCTGGATTTCTAAGTGTTCAGTGTTGGCCTGGCCTACATAGTAAGTTCCATGCCAGCCATGGCTACATGGTAAGACCTTGTCACCAAAAAAAAGAAGAAGAAAAAGAAAATTCTCCCATAATTAAAAAATAGATCAATGTTTTCAATATTGCTATTTGGGGGAAAAGAAACAAACTAAAAATGCATAGTTTGCTCAGGCTCATTCCAAATTGACATTAGATTACAGAATACTCATTTGGGGAACATATTGAAATTTTCTGATATGTGGCCCAGTGGACAAATAGTGCAAATGCCTGATAGCATGATGGTATACAAGCATGGTATAAATATATAAGAAACTCCAAAAACTCAACTCATCTTTGTCTTGGTTAGTTTTTAATCAAACTTAACACCAACTTAAACCTATCTAGGAAGAAGTAATCTTTTTTTTATAAGTTCTTTTTTTTTTAAATCTATTTATTTATTATGTATACAGTGTTCTGTCTGCACATATCCCTGCAAGCCAGAAGAGGGCACCAGATCTCATTACAGATGGTTGTGAGCCACCATGTGGTTGCTGGGAATTGAACTCAGGACCTTTGGAAGAACAAGGAGTGCTCTTAACCTCTGAGCCATCTCTCCAGCCCAGAAGAAGTAATCTTAATTGAGAAAATACCTCCATAAGACTGGCCTGCAGTTAGCCTGCCAGACATTTTCTTGAATCACATTTGAAGTGGGAAGGCCCAGCCCACTGTGGCCAGTGCTGTCCCTAGGCAGGTGGTTCTGGGGTATTTAAGCAAGCAGTCTGAGCAAACCATGGGGAACAAGACAGTAAGCAACACCCTTCCGTGGTTGCAGCTCCAGCTCCTGCTTCCAGGTTAGTGCTGTAATTGGTAATGAGGAAAATCAAATCGGGTATGTGGGCACTGGTGCAGCATAGTCACCTACAAAGGCTGATCCTCTTTTATGGGAACCAGACTTGCCAAGCCACCACCAGTGTGTGGACTAGAGGATGTCTCTGAAGAGTTAGCGCCCAGTACATCGGCATCAGCCACTCAGCCCGGGGAAAGTGTGATGCTGACAAGGCCAGGTTAGTCACCACAGGTCCCTGACTTGGAAAAGACTGGTGTAGAAGTGGTCAACATTGCGTCTGGGTCAGCCACACAGGATTGAGCCTGGAGCTCACTGGTCAGCTGAGGCAGTGCTGGTGGACGGTGTCTGGAGTCTGGAGCACTGAGCACCACAGAGAATGCTGTGTCCCCTTG